CTATTTCCGGTATATAAGTAGGCTTTCGAGACGATCACTAGAAAATAAATATGAGATATCTCTACTATCTTTCGTTAAGGTAATGAGCAGCTGGTTGCTGAATGTTTCCAGAACGATAAGAGTAGGTCTTACGTCCCATTGAATTCCACATAGCCTTGCTTCCCGAAAGCTATGCTCATCCAGGCCAGAGTGGGCTGTAGTTTCGACCTCCCAGCAACACCCTTGGCGGGATTCGAACCCTGGTAGTGCAGCGTGTCATCTCGAAAAATTAACCACCAACTCGTCATTTCACGAGTGCTTCTGGGTCACAGATCATATACGAATTTTAAACAAGGCCGGGTCTTCTCCTTTATCACATTTCGTGGTGGGATTGTCAATAAGGCAAAGTTTTATTTGCTATAGCTATCACATATTTTTCGTTTACAAGTAGATTTTTGAGACTACCATAAGCTCATAGATTGGAGTTGGATTCAGCCTATTTTGTTTAGAATGATGTAAGACTGGCGGCTGACTTTTTCCCACAATGCTACGAGTAAGCCTCAAATTCCCATTGTAATTTATGAAATAGAGTGAAAAAATATTATAAATATCATCTATTGCTAGTCTTTAAAATGTAGTTATGAATTAAAAATAAATAATGTAATCGATTGCTTAGGCAAATACCACTTTGCATACCACTTAACATAGAACATGTTAGGGGAAAAGGCCTAACATTGCTTGAAATTTATATCTGTCCTGTGACTCAAGGGCACTCGTGGTAGTGTAACGTAGTAACGTATCGAGATTATAGGCTGAACTAGCCGAGTTCGAGTCCCGCTTGGTGTGCTGATGTGACCAGTTCAGGCGAGATCGAGACTGCAGTCCACTCCTGCCTTTCGGGAAGCAGGGCTGCGTGAAATTTAATGGAACCGTAAGATCTACTCATAGCATTGTAGACAAAATGCCATTACCAGTCCTGCAGCGCCTTGAACTACTTTTAGATTAAATATATATTGGTAATTACAGTCGGCAGCACTACTTGTTTTTGTAGTGAGTAGTTTTTCCAGGCCAGCCCAATAGTACAGTCCATTTCAGCCTTGATGAGAATACTCTTTGGGAGGCAGGGCTGATTGAGGTTCGTTATCCTCGTGAAACCGACTCATCTCAGCTGCATTTCAGTCTTCCCATTATGCGACCTAGGCTGACTAGAATTCTTGGTCAAGATCTACTGATAGCCTCGAGTACAAATTTGTCAGACTCCATCTGCTGCCTACGGGTTCTTTTGGGCACCATCCATCGTGATGTTACTATGCCGCATTTCACCCACCCCCTTGGTCACCGCTCTTGTGACAAACCATCTTCAATCCTCTCTTAAAATGTGTTTCCTAGTCAAATAGAGAGCTCAGCTTTGAATACGTTTGTTTATGGCCATTGGTAATGCAACTAACTCGTCTGCCTCTGCCAATTTCACTCGTCGTCCCCCGTTTTCAGACTCACACAACTGCCACCCTCTCGTCTGCTCACCCACTTGTAGACCGTCCACCCTTCCAGTCCTATTTTCCTGCTTCAGTTCATTCGCCCATCCCTCTTTATTGAGCTAATGGTATCATGTTTCTCTCCAGATCAATCCTCCCTACCTCACTCCCTCCTTCGCTGCCTCCCTTTCTCCTCTCCTCCCGTCCCCCTTCTCACAAACTCGGGCACAAGCACACCGCACGAATCGGCGCCCGACATGCCAATAGCCTGTCATGTACCAATTGCTTAATTGTCTAATCATGTTAGCCGGCATATTCCGAGGTGGGGCTCGACGGTGTGCCCTGCAAACGAGACAGCCAGGACAGCTCACCAACGCCCTCGGCTACTGGCGCACGAGTCGATGTGGATGTCAGATGCGAGTGGCAGATGAACGTGCATCATGACAGTGAACAGGCCTCCGCCTAAAATTACATCTCAAAGAGGCAAGTAATTTATCCATTTTTAACAGAATCTTTTTCACATCTCGAAGACCCTCCAAGTGCATCTATCCACCCCTTGCCTCCTGCTAGTCCATCAATCATGCCTGGAGGGTACAAGAGATTCTGACTTTTTGTCCAGAGGATATTCCAATTTGTCGTTTGCCATTTGAAACCAATTTTCAGGATAGTTAGAGACGTACAGTACTTGGGGCGGAGTGAAAAACAACTTAACTCTGCTATATTGGCTCAGATTCTTGTCTCTCCTGGTTAAGCTTGTAAAGATAAATTTCCATGCTTTCACACAAAATATTATTTTAATGCAATACTTTTGCACTTTCTTCGAGGCTTTATAACCGTGAGTGGCCATTAATCGCCCGGTTTGTGTGATGGAATGATAAATAACTCGCCTCTAAAGACGTACGCCCTGGGTTCGAGTCCCGTAGTGAGGTCTATCCATACACTGAAGTGAGTTGATGAACACTATTGGTTGCTCTCGGTGCAATTCATTTTTGGAGATTCTCAAAATATTTGAAGAGGTACTTCTGCATCCTAGGCCGTTTGGGAGATGTGAGGACTGGTAGGAATATAATGCAGGTTCCGCAAATACCAGTCAGTCTTGAATAAGACTTCCAGACACCCTAGGTCGTATTAATTGAAAACAGACCGACAGGTAAATTCCACCAAAAGCAATTGGCAGGTGTCATGTTTTCATTGGATTTCATTTAAACTTACCTCAAAAAAAGGCATTATCATCCAGACATGAATAGAATGCAGTCTTGGCCTCGCATAGATTTAATCAAAGCCTACTTGCTAAAAATACAAGTAGTATGGTCAATTGTAATGGCAAAATACGCGTTTAATAATTATGTTCACACTATCTCGTTCAAAGTGACGAAGGACTAGTAATTAACTTTTCCACAATCCTATTAATACATCTCAATACATCAATTTGATTTTCATAGCCTTGCTCTCCAGAAGGTATT